CCTTCTCTACTTCTTTAACTAAGTTAGCTCAGTCTAGCCCTTCAAATTTCACCCTAAGTGTCCCACCTCAGAGATGCTTTCTCTGAGCCCATTGGCCACATCCCTTTGTTGAATGCTGGTTTCTCTACTGCTGCATTGCTTTCCTTCATGGAAATTAGCTCCATTTCTGATAGTGTACGTCTGCCTGTGATTATGTAATTAATGTGTCTCCCTTGCAAGATCATCAACTTTGTGAGAGCAAGGCCTTGTGTGTTGACACTCCCCATTTCATTCTCATGCTGGGAAGTAGGCCCTGAAAGGATGTTTTCTGGATAAATAAATAAATAAATAAATGAATGAATACCTGTTTCTGGAGTCACCTCACCTCCTGGTGGCCCATCACCATTTATACATGGCCACCTCTTCACTCCCCAGCAGAGGGTCACCAAGAGCCATGCCCCGGTGGAGGCAGGCCCATGTGGAGAACAGATCCTCAGGACCCTTCCTTGGGATCAGCTGTACTTGGGACACATGTAGTTAGTCCTCCTGTCCAGCAGAAAGATAAACTGGATCACTCCCTGTTAAGGGAGCTTCCCTGTTGCTTTTGTGCCTCTTGGGTAGGGTCAGAGGCTGGGTGAATACCAGCCCTTTCTGGAATACCCCTCAGTAGCTGCCTTAGCTAACCTGGTGGTTTGTTTCTAAGGCTTTCAGTCCACTCTCTTGAATCTCTTCACTTCTGCTCTCTAGGTTGTCATTTGACCATGGACAGACTTCACATCAACTCATCAGCATTTAGGGCCAGCCCGCGAGCTCTGCTGTGACCTCCCCAGCCAACTCAGAGCAGAGCTTCCTGGATGTCGAGAATCGTTTGACTCGTGGCCTCCTTCCAATACCCCTTGCGGTGCCACACTGCCAGATCACTCACTTTGTGCAGCAGGAGGCTTTGACCCCACCCTTGAAGGTGTTGTTGGTGCCACTTCAGATCCACTGAGCTTCCTTGGGCCATATGCTCACATGCTGCTCTAGCCGCAGAACACCCTCCACTGTTCCCCTCACTCGGCCTGGCTACAGAGCGAGTCAGAGGCACCAGCCAGGAACCCTGAGTAGAAGCAAGCTGTGGCTGAGGAAGAGCTGGAGAGCCCATGGGCTACAAGTCAACTCCCCCTGACTAGGAGGGGTCCGAGCTACAGTGCCCACCAAGCTGGCCTGTTGGTATGGCATGTGGTTACAGTTGTGGTTCTGGTTCCCCTACTTACTGACTGTGGATTACAAATAACTTACCTCTGAGGCCCTCAGTTTCCTCTTCTATGAGGATTTCATGAGGTAGTTGGTGTTTGGTTCTGGTTATAATGATTTGGCTGGTCCTGGGGTCTGGAGCAAGCAGAGTGGGGACACTCACCTCTCTGAAGGGAGGGGTATATGGAAGGTGGAGGCAGGGGAAGGGTTGGGCAGAGAGGAGCTCTCAGGACCTGCTCTGGGGCTAAGGCTGCCCCTCAGAGCCCAACAGACTAAGCTCAGTTTGCCTCCTACACCCAAAGGTATTTGTGTGTCTTTCTTTCTATCTTCCTTCCTTCCTTCCTCCCTCCCTCCCTCCCCTCCCTTCCCTTCTCTTCTTTCTTTTCTCTTTCTTTCTTCCCTTTCTTCCTTTCTTTCCCTTCTTCCCTTATTTCTTTCTTTTTTTGTTAGCTTTGAATTGCCTCCTCTGCCTGATATTTCCAGAGTGCTTTGCAGCTTGAGTGTTCTAGTGATGTCATTTCTGATCTTGGCACAAGATATGCTGCTGCTGGTTGCTCACGCTTCTTATAACCCTAAATCCAGTCTGAGTAACTGGAGGTGACAGGCTGAGGTGTAGACCTGTGCTGGGCAGGCATGGGATGGGAACAGCAATGTGCTCCAGGCAGAGGGGGTCTATGATGATGTTATAGGCATCTGGGCCAGCACTGACCCTGGTACTCACTCTAGGTTTGCTGGGCCCTGCAGAGGGTTAATATCTGCAAGATGCCCAACAGTCTGAGAGGCCATTGCCCCTTCCCAGACTGTCTAGGACAAGCTGAGTGGCTCTGAGTTGCTGCCCACTGAGTGTGCCAATTGATATCCACATAGCAGAGTCCAGAACAGGAAGCCTGTGTTCTTGCCATACAGGATGGACGTGCTGCACCGCCTGCTGCCCAGACTGTGCACCATCTCCCTGCCCTTGGTAAAAAGGCTGGGATCTGACAGAGGGTCCAACCTGCCTCCTCGGCCCCTTCGCCCCACTCCTAACAGCTAATACCACTTGACCCCCTCTCCTTAGCCTAGTTGTACCCCAGGCTTTCAAACAATCCTGACCTTGGTCTGGACTGCTTACAGAGGCTTGGCACAGAGGCAGCCTGGCTGCGGATTCTGTTCCCACCTGGCACCTCCATTCTCGTGACTGGATTTCTGGCTTTTGCTGAGGCCCCTCATACATCTGCATCTGCGATCCCTGCTGGCACTGGTCCTCACAGAGCTCTGCTTTGCTTTCATCAGTCCTCCTGAGCCTCCCCGTACTGGAATCCATCCCTTGGACCTTCTTTTCCCCATTTCTCTGTGCATTTATTTATCTATTTATTTTTGTCACAGATTTGTTGAGATACTCACATACCGTTAGAATTCATCCATTTAAAGCGTACAACTCAATGGTTTCTAGTGTGTTCAGAGAGTTGTTCGGTGATCGCCACAATCAACATTTGAGCATTTTCATCACCCTAAAAGGACACTCCGTACCCACTAGCAGTCACTCTACCTTCCTCTGACCCCTCCCAGCCCTAGGCAACCATAACTTTACTTTCTGTCTCTATGGATTTTCTTATACTGGACATTTTATGTAAATGGAATCATACAATATATGGTCCATTGTGACTGGCCTCTTTCACTTAACATGTTTTCAAGATTCATCCATGTTGTAGCATGTATCAAGATTTCATTTATTTTTATTGCTAAATAATATACCATTGTATGGATATACCACATTTTGTTTATCCATTCATCAGTTGATAGACATTTGCCTAATTCTAGGTCATGAAAATTTACCCTTATTTTTTCTTCTAAGAGTTCTATAGTTTTAGCTCTTACATTTATATCTTTAATCCATTTCCAGCTAATTTTCGTATATGTTGTGTAGTAGTGGTCCAAATGCATTCTTTTGCATATGGCCCCAGCACAATTTGTTGAAAAGACTATTCTTTCCTCCAATGAATTATCTTCGCACCCTTGTTGAAAGTCAATTAACCGTAAATATGAGGGTTCATTTCTGGACCTGTTGATCTATATATCTATCCTTATGCCAGCACCACACTGTCTTGATTATGGTAGCTTTGTGGTAAGTTTTGAAATCGGAAGTGGAAATCCTCCAATTTTGTTCTTTTCAAGGTTATTTTGTGTCTCTTGTATTTCCATATGAATCCTAGGATCAGTTTGTTAGTTTCTGCAAAGAAGCCATTTGGGGTTTTGATGAGGATTGTGCTGAATCTTTAGATCAGTTTGGGGAGTATTGCCTTCTTTACAATGTTAAGTCTTCTAGTCCATAAACATGGGATGTCTTTCCATTTGTTCCCTGAATCTTGAAACTGTCCAAGATTTCAATGTCACGTGCCTGTGGAATTCTGTGTCTTTGTGTGTTGCCCACCCTGTGGACCCAGCCACCTTGTGTTACCCTGTAAGCTTACTTGCTTCTATTTCCCACAGACCTCTCGCCAAAGTTGGCCTCCCTGACTTGGCTTCCTTCCACTGCCAGCAGTTGGATCTGCCCCAACCCTTGGGGACACCTAGTTGTCAGGTCCCAGATCAAACTAGTCTGGACCCCCCCCCCCCCCAATCTCTTAGCTCACATTCTCGTCCTTGAATAAACAAGGAAAGTGAAGATTCTTAGTTATGGGGAGAACTTTCCATCTGTATCATTTCCCTGTGGTGTAGCCAGAGTTTGGAAATAGAAACAGAAGAGCACACATTTAACATGTATTTTGCCACCAAATTCAATCAATAAAGGCCCAGAGGAGATGTGCAAACCCTCCAGAGTGTCCCGGTATCCTCGAGGTGGGGGTTTCTGGGTAACTAAAGGTAGAATGGCTTGAAGTGACCCAGGCTGGGATGACCCTGCATTGTCTGTGCCGGCCTGAGTCAGCTCATTTGCACACTCTCATTTACAGAGAGTACACAGGACCCCCAGAGTAGACAAGTCACAAAGTCCCCTGAAACTTCTCTGTGTTTTCTTCCTCTTCTCCCCGCTGGTACCAGGAAGTTCATTTCCACAAATCAGTCCTTCTTGACAATCAGAAATGCTTTTTTGTGTGTGTGTGAGACTGAGAGAAGTTGGATGGTCCAGCTTTCCCCTCAGAGCAGGGCCTTTTGAGCCTGGGTGCCTGCCATGCCCACGCAGAGGATGGCAAGTGTCACTTCTTTGGGCTTTTGCATCTTTCAAAGGCAACTATCATTTCAGCCTTCCACCTGAATATTCCAGCAACAAGTGACACCTGCATATGATAACATTGGGGTAGATGCTTGCAGAAGGCTGAGCATCTGTGTTCTTAGGACTCCAAAATAGAGCATATTCACAATGCAGAACTAGACTATTGTACACTTTGTGCTGATATGAATAAAGATGGTCTATTTTTCAGTTTGAATTTTCCATTCTAGTTCTACAGGGCTTCAGCCAGATGTGAAAGAAAGCCTTCATGGATGGCAATTGTGCACTATTGAGAAAATTGAGAAAACCCGTGTGTCACCAGAGACACCTTAGGTCTATGGGCTTCCCTTACCCAGAGCTGTATTTTAATATCCTCAACTCTTATATCTATAAAAACTCCCCCAAACCCCTTTTCTCCCTGTTTAGGTTAGGCAATGCTGCAGTAACAAACCAACCCTGAAATCTCAGTGGCTTTACATATTAAAATGTATTTCTCACTCATGCTAGGTCTCCTGAACCGTTGCTTTTGGGCCTCGGGGAGGGGACAGTGGCCTCTGGGAATTTTTCTTTCAGACTGATGAAGTCCTTGCACCTCCAGGTGTGGCTGTGTGGGGGCAGCATGGAGGTCCTGCCTTGCTCACGGGTGGCCCACATCGAGCGCAAGAAGAAGCCGTACAACAGCAACATCGGCTTCTACACCAAGAGGAATGCTCTCCGGGTTGCTGAGGTCTGGATGGATGATTACAAGTCTCATGTGTACATAGCGTGGAACCTGCCGCTGGAGGTAGGGCCAGCAGCCCTCCCCTGTCACCTAGAATAGTGATCTTTATGTTTGACGGGTGACTAATCACTTTAGTAAGATGATGGTTCCTCCCCAGAAAAATGCTTGTGCTTGCAAAATTATGAATGCATTTGAGGGGGTTCATAGACCAACCTTCAAGTTTTAGAACTCCTGCTTTACACGGCATCTGGCATAGCAGGAGTCTCTAAAGCCATTTACAAAGATTAAAAGGGTCTTAATGTGTTAATCCCAGTCTTGTTATATTAATCCAGATGCCCTGCTCTGGACCATACATTGTGTTCAGAATATTCTTGCCCAAGGTTCTAGCACCAAATCCCATCATGTGCTCTCACTGTATACCCTTCTGTGGAGCTCCATCTGTCCCATGACATATGCCCTTACTGTATGCAGAATCCCGTGTTTCCGTGGCTCTTCATGTCTCCTCCATATTCTGCCCAGCACATAGCCTAGGAAAATTCCCATTTTACTGCAGCCCCATAGGAGTGTTGCACAGTGTTGTGCACCCGCTTGGTTGGAATCCCAGCTCTGCCACTTACTAGTTATGTGATCTTGAACAAATCCACTTATTGCCTCTGTACCTTCGCTTCCTCAGCTATAAAATGGAGATAATAGTTGTTCCTTCTTCCTAGGGCAATTGTGAGAACTAAATGTAAAGTACTAAATCTAAGTACTAAAGTACTAATCTAAGTACATGTGATACACTTAGAGCAGTGCCTGGCACAGGATATGTACTTGGGAATGTTGGCAAGCGTTGTTCGTCATTCACAGCACAGCAGGGTCACCTGCACCATCAGCCAGAGTTGAGTTTGTCTCCTCCGCCAGAGCATGTATAGGTGTCCAAGTCATGCCCTGAGAGAGTCACCTGGAATGGTTCTCACTGAGAAATGGCAGCCCCTTCGTTTCAGGAGGCTAGAGCCCAACAGCAGACATGCAGTTGAATATGTGCAAGGTTTGTGGATAGAGACGATAAAAGTGAAGAATTTATATCATTGTTGCTACAATTATTGAAATACATTCTAAAGCATCGAAAACCCCCTAATGGCCATATAGCACTGTATAGCTGTTAAACTCTAAATGATTTTACACATTGTTATTCTGTAAAGATAGAGAATGTTTGTTGAACCCTTGCTACATCCCAGACATTCAGTAAGCTCCTCATTTGCAGTATCTCCTTTGGCCGTCATAACAATGTCATGACCTAGAACCATCTGCCTTGGTTTCCTCATCTGTAAAATGGGGATTATTAACATTTACTTCCTAGGACTCCCATAAAGATAAAAATGAGACTTAGAACAGAGCATAAGAAATGTTAAGTGCTCAATAAATGCTAACTTGATACGCACCTATTATGATGTCCATTTCACAGATGAGTAAACTGAAGCTCTGGGAGATTAAAAGTGACTTGCTTACGGTCCTACAGCCAGCACGTGGCAGGGCAGGGCTGTGAACTCACATCTTCATTCAACTCTACCCACAGCCCTGCCAACCACTGTTATCATTCCTGTTCTGCAGATGAGGAGTTGTGCCCCAGAATGGTGGTGACTTACTCAGTAGTAAGAACTTAGGCCTGCTGACTCTACCCCAGTGCTTTCTCCATCATTACAAACAGCCTCTGGTCTCCAATGCCAGCAGCACCCTACCATCCTTTTCAAAAATGACCATTCTCATTAATCATGCTAAGTACATTAAAACACAGAGTTAAATATTGCTGCCCAGGTTTCCCTTTGAATTTTAATAAGTTTGACATTTAAGGAGACTTTCCTTTAAAATCACTGTGTGTCTGCTAAGGAAGAAATCTTAATGAAATTATTTGAACTCTTCCCATCCCCCAAGATGCTGCTTGGCTCCCCGCCGATGTGAAGAGAGCATCCTGTCTCCCCTAGTTCGTAGCCATATTGTGGCTGAGTCTGAGGAGTCATATTTCAGCTACTTTATTTTCCCCTGTCAGCACACAGCAGCCCATTACAGGTTCATTTCTGTAAAAGCAGAGTGAATTATTCATTAGAACATCATTACAAGCTTTGCAATGGAAAATTATTTTCTCTTCTGCATATAATGAACTTCACAAAGAGCCAACAAAGGGGGAAATTACACGTGTATAGAAAAGAAAGACAGGAAGTGGTTATAGGCTTGTATTTTCTTGTCTTAATCAAATAATTCCTTTAATAATTGGCTCTGATAGTCACTGAGGAAATGTGAGAGAGACAGAACTGGGGACATAGGTTGTCAACATCAGTGTGTCCTGGATCTCTCTAGCACGGCAAATAAGGACTAAAGAAAGATGACTGAGTTGTCTGAGGGCTGTGGGCTGCACTCAGGGTACCGCAGTGTCTAGCTCGGGGCTAGATGATCAAGTCCATCCCCTTAAACTGGCCTCTGAGCAAGCGTACTGGACATAAGGTTTCTCTCTGAAGGATTCCCCAAGGTGATACCTCCTGTCCTCCTCTCTGGCCAGAGCTCTCCAGTCACTAATGCCCTCTGCTTCTCTCTACTTCCAGAATCCAGGAATTGACATAGGTGATGTCTCGGAAAGAAGAGCATTAAGGAAAAGTTTAAAGTGTAAGAATTTCCAGTGGTACCTGGACCACGTTTACCCAGAGATGAGAAGATACAATAACACTATTGCATACGGAGAGGTAATTAAGACCACGCACGCTTTCAGCGTGGATGGCTGTGCAAGCGGGCTGTGGATTGCTTTGCTGGGAGAAAATAACGAACCAGAATCATTCGTTCGTTCATTCATTCATTCAACGAGTGGTGTTTGGAGGCACAAGCCCTGGCAGCAGGGCTCTCACTAGCTGGTGGAGGATACAAATGTAATAAACGTTTCAGTGGGAGCATGGACCACCCTTTTGCCTGGGATGTGGAATGGACGATGAGTTCTGTTTGGGACATTTGGAATTTGAGGCTCCTGGGACCTGTAAATGGGATACTGAGCAGGAAGCTGGGTGTAGAGGCAGGGCTGGAGCGTTCCATGGCTCAGTGCTGTGGGCAGAGCACTTAGCACCAAAGAGAGGGTGCAGGCGCTCCTCTCAGATTGTCAGTGATGAGATAATAGCACCTTTCTAACATTAAAGCAGATTGACTTTTCTCTTGTTACAAATGCCATAAATATTTCATTTTAGAAAACTTCGAAAATAATAATAATAGCAGTGAACACTTACAGAGTGCTTTCTATGGAAAGCACTAAGTACTTTTCACATATAAATTCGTTTCACCCTCACCTTATGAGGTAAGAGTATTATTTCCATTTTATTGAAAGGAAAGCTGAGACTTAGAGAAATTACATAAATTACCTAAGATCTTGCAGCTTAGAAGCCATGAAGCCAGGATTAGACATAGGCTTTCTGATTCCATAGATAATATGTACATTTTGATGCATGGTCTTCTTTACTGTGTGCATATGCATAGTTTTTTACTAAAAAAAAAATATATTTTTATATACCATATATACTTTTTATACACACATCTACATATTAATATACGTATTTTTTTACTAAACCATGCTGCTTAAAAATGACTAATAATTTCAAATGTTACTCAGTAATATACAGAGAATATTTATCCATGTCATTCAACATTTTTCTACAAGGTTATTAATGGCTGCATCTGATGCTACCTTTTGTGTATGCTGTGTTTTGCTTGCAAACAGACATTTATGTTGTTTCCATTTCTTAAGTATCATAAGCACCACTGCTAAGAACAGGTCTGTATGTAAGCCCTTGCACATCTACCGTGTTACTTCCTTTGGATAATGAATCTGTGGCAGAGTTGGGACAAGGCACAGGGAGCCGGGTGCTCTGGGCCTGGCAGAGGCACCTTGATCACTCCAGCATGTGGATGTCTTCCCAGGGCTGCCTGGCACTCCCTGTAACAAACAGGCCGAAGCTAAGAAGGCTCTCTTTGATTTGGAGTGTTTACTTTTTCTACAACTGTAACTTTTCCTGTTTTATGCCTGCTGCATTTAATAAAAAGTAAATCAGCCCTAGGTTAAGCCATCAGAGTGTGGGCGAGGTGTCCCTCCTAAGCTGGACTCTAGAATGGGAAGCTTGCTTCTTGCAAGGCTAGTCTGTATAGCAGTTAGGGACCTGTGAAGACGCTGGAGCCAACTTGCTGGATTCAAATCCTAGTGGCTCCTCTTGGCTTCCGTTTCCTCATCTGTAAAGTGGGGGAGTGAAAGTGCCCTCTGCATAGGGTTGTTGGGAAGATGAAAGGAGCTGCAAAATGGAGAGATCTTAGAAGAGTACCTGGCTTGCAGCAGTAGGTATTACTAGATTCAAACTGCCATATCTTGTCTTCTTCAAAATAAAAGTGTGTTTTTTTGGTTTTTTTCTTTAATTATCAAAGTAAGATCAATTTAAAGGAGGCATGGAAAAACAATGAGCAGTGAATGGATTATTCCTAAGACAACTGGGTAAATTGCTTAGCTCTTTGGAAAAGAAACAATTTAGACCCTTACAGCTCACCATACCCCAAAGTATATTTCAGATGGACTACAGCATTAAAGGAAAGAAAAGAAACCACAATAGAACCATACAGAAATAGATATGAATCTGGTCTCTGAAAGGGGAAGGGTTTTCTCAGAATGAAAGCTGTGGAAGAAAAAGCAAAGGAAAGTGAGAGTGAATCAGAGCTGATAAATATTAAAATAATCTATACATCAACCCAATAGAGAAATAACATGCCAAACTGGAAATATGTATGCCATAAGTACTATGGATGAGTGGATAATACCGTTAACATATAATGAGCTCTGCAAATGGATTTAAATAAAACTTTTATTTGAATAAGAAAGTAAAACATCCCAAAAGAAAAATAGACAAAGTACAAGAGAAAATACAAGTAGATGAAAAACCACATGAAAATGTTTTTATTTCATAATCAAAGAAATTAGAATAAAATTTAAAATACAATGAGGTAGCTTTTTTCCTCCTACCAAATGAACTGACATTGATTTTTGGTATGTGTTGATACTTTGCCAGCAAGGTATTGGTGATGTGAAAACCGCATATCCTCTGGTGAGAGTGTAAATTGAAACAAGCTTTTTCAAAAGCAGTCTGAACTACGTGTATTAAAAAGCTTAATGAGAGTCATACTTTCATCTCCACTCTTATCCCAAGCAAAATAATATGAAAGGAGGACAAAAATTTGAGAGTAAAATTGTTAATATCAGAGATTTTTTTGGATCAAAAGTTTTTAATTTAACTTGAAGTTTAGTTAAAAATATTATACTAATGTTTTGAAATATTTTGTTGCCATTTCAAAAGGTGTGTGCAAAAGTTTAATGACATGAGAAAAATATTGATAATATAATGTTTCAGAGGAAAAAGTCAGGATTATAAAATTGGATTAGCTACTAATTTAGATTGGAAGCAGGTCAGAGAATAGTGTGAGGAAATGGAGGTGATAGTTCTAATCACCTCTGGGTAGGGGAGCAGGCAGTTTTTGTGTGGGTACGTTGTCCTGTTCTCCTCATTATCACTAATGTTTATGTGATAATTTTATAATTAAACAAAAATAGGGGCCCGCCTCATGGCCCAGTGGTTAAGTTTGCGTGCTCTGTGGCGGCCCAGGGTTTCTCTGGTTCGGATCCTGAGTGCAGACATGGCACTGCTCATCAGGCCACGCTGAGGTGGTGTCCCACATCCCACAACTAGAAGGACCTGCAACTAAGATATACAACTAGGTACCGGGCGAGGGGGGTGGGGGGGGGGGGGTTGGGAAATAAAGCAGAAAAAAAAAAATAAAGGAAGATTGGCAACAGTTGTTAGCCTAGGTGCCAATCTTTAAAAAAAAGAAAAAATTTCTGGGAGTTTAGACCTGAGCAGTGTTACTCTTTGTTTACATTTTATACCTTCTTTCAGAATAACTTTTTAGTCAAATTCATTTCGGTGACAAAATTTACCATTTTTCAGACAACTGCATTTTAATGCTCACTCCTGCTAGTTCTTTTTATCTCATCAGACCCCAGCACAGTGGCAAAGGGACACAGACACCTCCAAGCAGGTGTCAGCCCTGGCGTTCCTTCCTCACCCAATAACAAGTGTTGGTGCCCAGGCCTACTTAGACAGGAAGTCGCTTATCCTTGACCATTAAATTTGTATTCGTCTCTTCTAGCTGGGATGTCTTAAAATAATTTTGAGAGAAAGCTATGTGGATGCTTGATGTCCTGACTCTTCCATGTCTGAGACATTGCTTTGCCCATGCAGAAGTGCTGCAATGTGCACAGAAACATGGGCCGCCAACTCATTCACTCAGAATTCTGTGGTGGGCTCACACTGCCCTTGTGGCCTGCACTGCTCCAGCCCCTAGTTCATTTTTCATTGTCTTTTTTTTCTTTAACCATTTTTATATGAAATGACACATATAAAATGTGCATAAAGCAGACATGTGCAGCATAAGAATATAAAGCAAAAATCCATGTAGCCACCACCTGGTGAAAAATAGAACATGCCAGCATCACCTCCACTTACCCTTTTTTAACCTTTAGTTCAGGAGCCACGTCCCCTAGCCTCTGAACTCCTCAGGTGGGCTGAGGACATTCTCGCTGCCCTAGCAGAGTTCAGTCATTGTACCACTCTTCCTGTGTCTGTCTCTCTCCTGATCGTGGACTACTTCCAGACAGGGCTCTTTTATCTTTGTGTTCATTAGATTTAACACAGTACCAGGCACTTACCAGGCTCTCAATAAATATTCATTAAGTTACTCAACGGTAGACTTAATGGCATAAACATTAGGAACAAAATTTAAAAGCCTAGCATTTTGAAATCTTTGTACGGAGCTAATATGCCATAAAAACATTAATCTCCTTAATATGTAAAGAGCTCTTGCAAATCTATAATAAAGTCCCTTGACATCCCAGTGGAGAAATAGATAATTCTCAAAAAGGGAAATAATTGCTAAACATAAAACATTCCAATTTACTATTAATTGTAAATTTATAAAAACAAGATATCTTTCTTCACCTCCCAAAACAATATTTTTTATTTTTTGTCACAGATAATTTTTATGTTATACTCTTTTAAAAGCTTTGTTAAACTTCATTAGACACATTTTTATTATATTGCTCTTGCTTATACATAAAAAGGAAAATATAAGCAAAATGCACTGCTAAAAGTATTTCTAAAATTTCATCACTTTCAAAATCTAACTCTTCTGAATTTCTTTTTGACTCACAAGTTGTCTGGGTTTTTTCCTCTAACGTATCCTTTGCAGCGCTGAAAGCATTGGCAATAAGCATTTCCTTAAAGCATCCATAAGAGAACTAAAGGCACGGTGTTGGCCTCCTAAGCTGGCCGTGCCACACTTTAGAGATAGCTTGCTTTGGACTGTTTGTGTAACATGTCTGATTCATCGCTTGTCCTACCCCTCTCCACAGATTTTTAGTACCTTGTATTTAAAAGAATACTTCACCTTTGTCTTCAGATTTTTCTCCCCAAGCTAGTGCTCTTTCTTTCCCTCCGGTTCTATTGAGATATGGTTGACATACAACATTGTGTAAGTTTAACGTGTACAACACGTTGATTTGATACACTCATATATTGCAAAACATTTATCACTATAGTGTTAGCTAACACCTATATCACGTCACATAATTACAATTTCTTTTCTGTGGTGAGAACATTTAAGATTTGCTTACTTTGCAAGTTTCAAGTATATAATATTAGCTATAATCACCATGCTGTACAATAGATACCCAGAATTTACTCACCTTATAACTGGAAGTTTGTACTTGTTGACCAACACAATATTTTTAAATGGTGAAACTCAAGATGGATAAGTATTTACGTACCTTATGGATGGGAATATAAATTTGTTAAAAGCTCCCAGAAAGCAGCTGGGCAGCATGTTTTAAGAACATTAAGGTGTCCATACCCTTTGATACTATAATCCCAGTTCTAGGATTCTATTCTTAAGAAAATATGAAATGTGAATAAAGCTTTATGCATAAAGTTGCTCACCACAGTCAAATTGAACAAAACTAAATTGTCCAAAAATTGGGGAAAAAAATTAACTGATTGCGTGAAAGAATTGTGAACAATTGTTACTTTCTTCTGTATTTTCCAAAATATCTCACTGAGATGGTGTTATTTTTATAATCTTTAAAAAATGTAATTAAAAATCTGCTCAGTTGTCTAAATCTAGACAGAATTTAGGTGCACAAAAGCAGAGTGCCCCCTGCTTCCCTTCTTGATTTATCACTGGTTAGTTTGGTTTCCATGGAGACTATAATCTGGGAGGAGTACAAGGATACACGGGGAAGACCAACAATGTTGCCGTTTTCCTACTTGAGATTTCAGGGTTGTGGGTGGGATGGACACCAGTGTAGAATTGCAGTGCGTATGGAGGTCCCAATTAGATAAGTTCTTACTTGCTCCCAAGGAGCCATGCCTAGGTTCAGGGGTTTTGTCTTGGGGACTTTTGTCTGTTCCTCCATAGATGCATTCCAAACACCTAGGATGGTGCCTGGCACAGCATAGGCATTCAGTAAATATTTTTTTAATACATAAATAATTGCTTCTAGAGCTTTTCATGATGGCAAGGTTTTTGTTTGCTTTTTTGATTACTGTTTTTCATACCTCTATGCCAGTAATGACCTGAGAAGCTGACCTGTGGTTCCCAGGGTTATGAAAACCAGGGTTGGTGCCAAGGCCCACTTTGGATAACCAAAGAGTAACCAATGTTCCTATGTCCAAAAGTTCCCTGAGATCCTCTTTCATGCTGGGGACAGGAGAGCTGTGTGGTTGTGGGAGTCACAGGCAGAGGGCTAGTGCCTGCACCATCCATGGAAGGATTTTGTCTCTTGCTAAAGTGATCACCCCACAGACTCAAGCCTTGGTCCTTACTTGGAGGGTCGCATGGCCTCTCCATCAAGAAGTCGAAACTCGGGCATGGTGGAATGATAGCAGGGCAGCTGTACTTCTACTGGATGAGTTCTGATGGGTAATGTTTTGCCTATTCCTGCAGCTTCGCAACAACAAGGCAAAAGATGTCTGCTTGGACCAGGGGCCACTGGAGAACCACACAGCAATATTGTATCCGTGCCACGGCTGGGGACCCCAGGTAGGAGCCCATCTCTGACCAAGAAGTGAACTCACCAGCCCACAGGGGATTTGTTGGACTTCTGTAGCTTCTGTTGTCTCTACTTTGTAGTTGTTATGTGTTCTAAGATTTTAAGGAGGAGGTTAGGGACTTTCTGGTTGTTTCTCTATAGGAGTTAGGGAAAAGATTCATAAGTGGTTGCATCAGCACAAGTATTAAGAGGATCAGTGGACATGTTTCATACCAAAAGGAAAATGTGCATAAACTTCAGAGTCATTTGCCAAAGGCAAGCATATATCACATGTTCATATGTTGTAATTATAAGCAAATGTGTCTGCTTACAACTTCAAAGAAATAGTTAGCAGCTTCCTTTATGAGAACCTGATTGACATGTCCATCCTGAAAGGCCATCATCAGTTTGGTGGTAACTATGACCTGGTCTTCAAGTGATGGTACAAGAGCCAAGCACGGAATGGGAAGGAGGAACGTGCTTCCAGGAGAACAAACAAGAAAATTCAAAAAGGGTAAAACAATCAACCAACAAAGTAAAAATAGAGCTTTGGTAAATGAACATCCTTTGACAACTTTGTGCTAGCCAATGGTGTGTGTGCACAAAGAGCTTAGCAGAAAGTCCCTAAGATTTGGAGAAAACATATACAAAAATGTCGCTAGACTTGACATTCATAAAAAATAACATTATATCAACCAATCATAATAACAGGCAAGGTACGAAACATTTCTATTCTATTCCAGAAGAGCACTAGACTCTCTGAGTTTCAGTTTATCTGTTTATTTGTAAAGGGAAGACACTAGATAAAATGCCCTGTGAGCTCCCTTTGTCCTTCGTCTCTCTCATGTTCTAGGAACACACTCGTTCACATGCAGACTCACATTCACTGGTCATACACACATGCTCGTGCATGCATTCATTCAGGCTCATGGATTCGCTCTGCTCAAAGTGGTTTTGCTTTCCCATTAAGCCAGTACTTGAAAAGAGAAGAGTTATACTCCTTCTACTGTCACCACGGGTAGTTCTCACAGTGCAGACCCTCAGCCTCCCTTTGGTGTGTGGTGGGTCCTCTGAAGGTGGACAGGTAATGCTAGACAGATGGAATGCTGAGTGCTTTGATCCTTGTAGCCTCTAGGAGGTGGCAGACAGCATGAGGAGACTGAGGCATGGAGGAGCAAGTGCCTGTGAGCAAACCAGGCTAGAACCCAGGCTCTCCAGCACAACCAAAGCACAGTAAATTCCAATCCAGTCCATTTAGTTCAAGATTGTTTACTGGGCTCTACCACTGCCTACAATTGGCTAAAAGTGCCCATGGGGAGCAGAAGGATGACCAAGAATCCTGGACCCACTCCTCTCCATCAGGAAGTAGGGCAGGAGCATCCAAAGTGAGATGGACTGAAGAATCCAGTGGGTGTCTTCATCCATCATTTACCATTCACTCAACAAATGTGACTTGAACACCTACTGCAGGTGCTAGTCACAGGTGGATATGCAGTTGGTGAGATAGAGTCCCTGCTTGTGAGTGGTTTACACTTGAGAGGGAGAGACAAGCAAAGGGGCAGGAGGCCCACAGCATGCCCAGTGTGGAAAGAACAAGGGAGCCCAGGGTACTGGGTGCCGGGAGACAGAGGTGGCCCAGACTGCCTCGAGCTGAGAATGCAAGAGGGAAGAAAGTGCTGAGAGAAGGGCAGAAGGGAGATGGAGGAGCAGCTCTCCAAAGGCCTGAGAAGGCATGCTCCGAGGCACTGGCTCTCACAATTCAGTGTGCAGCAGAATCCCCTGGAAGGCTTGGGAAAGCATCGACTACTGGGCCCGACCCCAGAGTTTCTGTGTCAGGAGGTCAGGGAGGGCAGGGGGCTGAGATTTTGCATTTCTAACAAGTTCCCAGATGATGTCAATGAAGCTGGACTGGGGAGTTTGAAACTTGACCCTGGAGGCACTGGGGAGCCACTGCAGAGTTCACATGGGGGTATGATATGTTTAGACTGGGCACAGCCAGTCCTGGAGGAGTACAGAGAGTATGGATGCTGTGGAGAAGTCTGGCCTTTGGTCCCTACTGACTCTCTAGTTTTCCCCTTCCAGGGACCGAGCAGTGAAGTGCCCTGGAAGCCTTGGTGACCAGGGGAGTGGGGGAGGAGAGCTGTGGCCTGCAGAGGATGATCATCAGCCATTTAAGAGACTGCATCTTGGGATAGGCCAGATGACAAGCCAACCATCCATTCCAGCTTGTCTCAAGTGAGACAGCTGGGAGAGGGAGATGGGGACATGGTGGCATTGGGCCAGGAGGGCAGCAGGAGCCTGGACACTGAGCCCTGAGTATGTCCACTCTGGGCCACATTGCTGTACATGACCATCGTTTTGGGAAATGCTGGGAGTAGCTTTTAGAACACTTACCTCCCAGGCCTCTTTGTCCAGTCTTCTGAATAGGTAACATTTGAACTGAGTACTTATTAACTGTGACACAGTAGACACTATTGCATTTAGATATTTGCGTAATCAAAAACTGGCCTGTGAAGCCAACTTCTGTGAATGAGAGAGAGTAAAGATGGTCTAAGAAGTGTCTCCCAGAGATCTGAGGCCTCCCTTATATGGCTCTAGGCAGTGGCTTTTTACTTAGGTGTTTCAGGGGAAGGTTTTCTGAGCCACTCAGAAGCTCTCAGAGGAACCTTAGGACCAGCACATTGAGGTGGCAGCATCTGTCTTCTGTGGCCCTGGGTCACCTTCTCCCAGGACCCCGTGCCCTCCCCATTGGCCCTGGCTACTCAGAACACCCTCTAATGCCCTTGTGATGCTCACAGCTCCAAACAGTCTGAGACAGACCCCTGTGAACTTGACCTTTCTCATGCTACTGTCCAGAGCCTTACTCCTATTGCATCCCTTCCCTCAGGGTCCCACCTGGTCACCTGCTAAACAGATCCAACAGGAATGTCTGAGTGGCCCCTCTCCTAGACAACACAGTCAAAATTTAATGAGAGTCTTTACCCTGAAGATGGCCACCTGCTTTCTCCCTGCCCAGCATCAAGTTCTCCTCCCCTGCTGGGAACTTAGTGGCATTCACAGCACAGTGCCGAGGCCTTTGCTGGGAAATAACTGGAATTCATCTTTCACCAGTTCCACCTGCATGCAGAACTTTTCCAAACGCACGCTCCTGCCGTTTAGTTGATTATGGGATGGCAAACCAAATTAAGCTGCTCGGTTGCTCCCCCCAACTCCAAGATGAATACGTATAAGTGGGCCCTGGTTGTTTTCCATCAGCTGATTTTTTTAAGCAAATCTAATGATGTTTTCTCTTCTACCACATGCTCTGAATTAGAGTGCATCCTTGGTACTGCTCTCCAGCTGCCAGGCTGCCCCTCCCCTCGCTCATCAAAGTTTCCTCCCCCTCCTTCCCAAACCCTCCATGCTGGGAGTCCTTTCTCCACCAGTCATGGGCCTTGGCATCTTTTTAAACTGCTTCATAAAGTGCTGTGGGCAAACAGCGACTAGTCAAAGCTCCTGTAACAAGGCAACTCCCAGAAGAAGGAATCGGTGTTCCACGAACATTGTTAGCTTAATTATTGGACTCTGTTGTAATTTATTAGCAAACAGCAATTAAACAGAGACAGAATAGGCACTGAGGAGGGTAATTTCCTGTCTTGCAACATGTGTTTGTCAACAAGATGGAAACGGTTCCCAGCCACTCAGAGAGCCTGCTCGCTCACAAGCGTTTGTCGGTGAGCTCATGACCTGCCTTGCTCTTGTCTCATTACTAATTTGAATTACACAAACAACCATTTCTTTTTTGAGCCTCAGTTTTATTTAAAAATAGGATGTCAAGGACACAGCAGCAGCTTTTGGTGTCAGCTTGACCCCATTTAGACAGGAGGTCTTGTCTGAGGAGATGCATGGCCCCCGACTCCACTCCAGGGTCTCCATGGGTCCCCAAGCTAGACCAGCCAAAGTCACCCCACAGGGGTAGCAACCGTTTGATACCCCTCCTCTGCCAGCCCCTTCCTGCTCCCTCTCTCAGCCCACCCGGTCAACCTGTCAACCTTCCCCAGCCACTGCTTCTGACTTCCCTTGAGGACAGAGGTCAAGAAGAGAGAACAGGGTGGGCAGTGCTGCTCCCAGGGGTGCAAATAGCATCTTCCTCAACTCTTAACTCCTCCTTGAATGGCTCTCTCAAATCCTAGCAGCTGAGCTGTTGCCCAAGGTCCCAGCAGTGCAGCAGGCCACAGACTATGTCCCAGCTTCATGGGACAGTCCTGAGTGCTCTGGGCCTGTGCCACGGCAGGCTTGAGACAGGGAGCAAAAATGCTGATGATAAACCCATTTCTGTTTTTAGCAACACAGTTGCTCCTGTTGGGCAGGTAATGACCACCCCCACCCACTCCGGTTACTAATGAGAAATTAAGATTCAGGTAGTACAGTGCCACTTTTCAAACTGAAGTCCTGTGACTCCTGGTCTTGGATACTGTGCTGTGCTATCGGTGCATTCTGGAGAGCATGTCTCATATCCTTGAGCCCCCAAATGTCCTCTAGCCCACTAGAAAGACTTGAAGCAAACATAGGGGCAGTGCTCGGCAAGTGGAATGTGAGAGGTGGGAGCACACAGCATGCTTGGGGGACAGTAACACTGAGGCTAGTGGTCCAGAGTGGCTAATAGGGACAGAGTAGTGACAGCCTGGGTGCCAGGATGAAGGGCCAGGCTCCCCGGCCAGCATCTCAGATGTCACTCACAGGACTGGGAGCCACCAGGAACTCATTACAAATGCAGATCCCCGAGTCCAACCCTAGACCTACTGAAGGTGGGGCCTGGGAATCTGCATGGTAAGAATCATCTTCAAGTGCTTTATTTTTTCCAATCAACACAATTTATTGAGCATCTGTTCTGGGCCAGGCCATGTTGGCTTCCAGGTAGTGATCTATGTCCCTGTTTGCCCAGGATAGGCCCAGGTTATGCCTAGTGTCCCAGCCTAATTTTTTTTAATTTATAATACTATTTCAGTTTTTATATAATCGAGATGGATTT